TATTTCATTTATATAGTGCTCTGTGAACATAAATTAGTTAGCATAAATCAGTTAAGTAACGAAAAATTAGGTGTCTATTTACTTGTGACCACTCAGTGTACATGACTATGTGAAATGTGTAGGGTGACTAAAACAGGATTTTTACAATTTTAATTTTTTTCATACATTTAACAAAAAATAAATACAACAGACATCATCATAATACCACATTTAATTAGTCAGAAATAAGGCTTTGAACTTATTATGAAATTCAATATACACAGTCCAAAGGAAGAGAGGTTTCATCTTTAACTTCTACTGTATCTGCAGGAATGAGAAGAGATGATCTCTTGAGATCATTTTCGTCACTACAGGAATATCCAAGAAACCACATGTTGAGTGAGTACAACTCTTGCACCAGATCTGTACTGATATACTATGCTAAAATCAGTGGATTCAAATTGGCAAACTGTATTTTTGTATATAACAGTATCATTTTCTTCACTGAAAAAAAATATCACACTTCATTTAAAAAAAAAAACATGCTCATAGGCATAAAATTTGGCTTGTTTAAGCTGGTAAATACCCTAAAGGAACAACGGTCACCTTCAGATAGTTTATTTTGCACTGAGAAGTTATTTTACTAAGTTCAGAGTCATTATATTCAATTTATAGTTTCTCTAAGATAACAAACAGTACACTTGCATTCTTAAGGTAACTGTGTGAATGTTTATATAGAAAAGCCACACTGGGCTATCTGCTGGGTCCATCGAGGAGAATCGAACGCCTTATTTTAGCATTGTAAATCCACAGACTTACCACTGTCCCACAAGGGGATAATTGCAATATAAATGGAAGGTTTATTTTAAGATAGCAATGTAGCTAATCTTCATTAATTGACAAACTGACCATGTAATATGAACCAAACAAAATGTGTGATTTTATTATTGTCTTTACAAATTTTTTTCTTTAAATGAATAAGGCACATCATCCTAGCTGAAGGTTATACTAATAATTTACATATTGGTCAGATCAAATATTTGGAATAAAAATGTTTTAGAAATCATACCCAACTAGAAATTCAGCACATAATCTATCAAACTGATATTTAGGCCCTAAAAATGTTGAGAGCTCTTTATAAGCAAAATTATCTTAAAATATATGATGAACTAAATCCTAAATTGCTTTTTTGTTTAAATACTGCACTGCTGTTGAATAATACTTTCAAAGTGTGGAAAATAAAAAGAAACTGATAATAACTGTACATTGAAGATACAAGTACCATATTAAATCATAAAATGAATCAAAATATGGTTCATCTAACAATACAGAACTTGAAGATATTAATTACAAAATAAAGGTGTATATAATAAATTCATTTTGACCACTTCTGATGGATACTTATCCAGTCTTATAATAGTTATTCCTTTGAATGTCCATTCAGATGTTAAAAATGATTAACAAAACAAGTTTGGATAACGTAGTGGATTGTGAACATAGCCAGCTCCCAAACATTATATGAAAGAGTGTGTCTATTTAATATTTCATCATACAAGGTAATAAAAAGCACAAATTTAAGTAAATGTATAATTCTTACAAACTACTTGCTATGTACCCTGGTCACTTTAAAAAGTTTTTCAAAACTTAAATAATTTGTGTCAAACTATAATCCTAAATCTTTTTAGGTAATTAACCGAATGTACATACTACATACGGGGAGGGATATTTGTATAACTAGAAAGTTGTTATTTATATCTTAATTTCTTTTCCATTTTAAAATGTTCACTTGAGATTTTTGTACGAGACTGTCATCATATGACATTAACCAAAATCACATGAAAACATGTTTGCTTTCTCATAATTAAAGAAACAAACTATTTAAATTAAAACCTGTTTCTAACTCCTGTACTAATAAAAGTTTAGTACACGATGTACTTAGTAAACTTTATAGTTTAAAAGTGAAATTCTGTTGATTTTCTCTACAAATCTTTAACACATCATAGTAATGTTTGTTTTGGTATTTAATATCTGCATGATTTTCTTCTAAGAGTAGCCAGTGACACCCACTTAAAATGAAAATAGTCTAATTGTTCATAAGTTATTCACTATTAAAGTGAATACATTTTCTTTAGTTTATAAATATTATATTACATAATTGTGTTTGAACACAGCATAGAAAGGCACCAAACATGATTGTGCATAACAATTTCATTTTCTACACAAGCATAAAGAATAGTACATCCAGCAAAGAAGTACTTTTTTAAAAATGATCACCACTTTCACTTTTCAATTGCTTTGTCCTCCCAATCTTTTTTCTTCTTGATATTAAAGTAAGTAGCTAAAAACGATACTATAACATAGAAAACCAAACTATCAAAATTAACAACTGTAAAGTGGCTTTTCTGTATGGAAAACTTCTACAAATAATTACCACTGCCAAATCATACATGTATTTCTTTTCATATAGTTCATATGTGTTACTGATATATATACAAATACTGGAATTCATGTAAAAATTTTTATAGTTTGGAAATGAATTTAAACAAACACTTCATGAAGGTATAAATATTTGTTGTTATAATTGCCCCCATCTCACCTTTTAGAGCTCTCCTCTCCTCCGAGTATTTATGATGATAGTTATATTTGAGTCAATAAATACTTTAGAACAATGTTGAGTAGAACACACTTACAGTCTATTCCTTGAGCTAAGTTACACTTTGAACTATTTGCTTGAACACACACTTACAGTCAATTCCTTGAGCTAAATAACACTTTGAACTATTTGCTTGAACACACACTTACCGTCAATTCTTTGAGTTAAATAACACTTTGAACTATTTGCTTGAACACACACATTACAGCCAATTCCGTGAGCTAAGTAACACTTTGAACTATTTACTTGAACACACACTTTACAGCCAATTCCTTGAGTTAAGTAACACTTTGAACTATTTGCTTGAACACACACTTTACAGCCAATTTCTTGAGCAAATGAGCATTTTAGAACTACTCTGATTATACATACCAGAAAATAAAATATATACTAAACTTTCAGATACCATAGCAATAAGAAATGGAAAATACATTTACACATTACAATATAGAAAGCATTTCAATATTCCAACAATGTGATATATGTATTATACTAAATGGAAATGAAAACATGTGTGCAACATTTTAGAAAATAATTGTGTCTTTTTCATATTTCAACATTTATTATAAGTAAGTGATATACTGTTGTCCCAATAAACATTGTACCATAGGATTATCATATGCAAAATATGACCATTTGGATACAGAGTACATTGTCATAGTTTTCAACTTCATCATTTTAATAAGATTAGAAGAGGTAAGATACTTTGTGGAAAAGGTAACATCTCACCCCTTGCTAAATACGTTCTGCCACACTTAACATTTCCCCTACCTGAAAATGTTCTCTCACATCAGTCACAGATTTGCATGACACTAGCCTTGATACAACAGATTTTACATGCATTGCACCACTGCATGATGGCATCATCATGTGATGAAGCCCTCCACCAATAGGAAGGTGACACACCTTCATGCACTTTAACTCTCACGAATTGTCATTCTTTGAGAAAGCCACTAAGAAAATGTGCACCAAAAGTGGGGAGGATGGGTGG